AGATAACCATACGCTTCAGAGGCGCATGCTTTTCTAAGGCGTCAATTTTATACTAACAATGGATATTTATTTAAGTTAATCTAGTCATTTTAAAGGTTTGGCATTATTGTAAAAATAAAATGCATTTATATTATATTTTTTTATATTTTAAGTAATTTTAAACTTAAATCACTAGACCTCTATGAAAAATTAACAAAAATCAACAGTCTTCGCAGGCGCCTCTGCGACGTAGGTTATCTTTCTCGGGTTAAGATCTGCGCACGAACAGGTTGGCGCGACCGCGAGCGTGCAATTTCGAGGATTGCGAAATCGAGATTCGGAAATTCGATTCGAAATTCGTTATTATTTCGTTATTATTTTGTGAATTGGACGTCGTGGTTGTATAAGCTCGGTTGTTCCAGTGTTATTACTTAGACTGCGGATCTTTGTGCAAAATACGAATTTCCTACGTCAACTTAAAGAACAGTTAAGTAAAAATGTTTTTCTTCTTTTAATAGTTCTAAGAAATTGGAGATAATGTAACAAAGTATTTCGTTGATCTATTTTAGCCAAAAAATGCAAAAAATCCACAGTCCAATCGTTAAAATTAAAAATCTCTTTTTATAATATAATTCCGAACGAAATTTTTCGATTATGTTACTGGGGATGACGTATTGATACGCGACTAAAATTGCATTCCCATTGAACAATTCATTAAGAAATTCTGAATTGTAAATTGTGTACTCAAAAATTATGAAATATTGAACCTCAACAATTGTCGAACTTTGGACTTCTGTAACTTCGTGCAAAAACATGTTACAGTGTTCTGCCTATGCCCATTTTAAAGGCTCGAATCTCTACTTTCAAACTGCAAGCACGCAAACATATAAAAAATTATCATCCGTAGTTACGAAAGTTAAAAATATAACAACTTCGTTTAACTATCAATAAAACTACTCTGTTATTTATCACGACATAATCCGTTCTGGCTAAGCTGCAGATTTTTACAAAAAAAATAAAAATATTCTCCGTCGAATACAAGATACATTAATTGTTTAAAACATAATCAACTTAGCGACAGTTCGTTCATTCTTCCGCCGCGTTAACTCTTTCGTATTCCATCCGATTTATCCTCGCCGTAAGTGCATATACAAAATCCGCAGCGTAACCATAATTGCTGGGAACGATCCGCGAGAAGAAGCAGCAAACTATTTGAACGATAGAGAAGGTAGTACGGTGGGGAATGGAGAACGATATCAAAGTGTTCGATGGTTCCCGTTGGAGTTCGTTCGAACGGTTCGCTGGCTGGCAACTCGCTTTTACCATCCACCACTACGGTACCGACCGAGCTTCCAGCACAGGCCGAGCAAACTCTGGGTTTCCCAGTGGCCAGAGCTGCAGAGAGCCAGTTTATCGACTCACCTCGGCAGCAAGACGCCTGCTTGATCACCGCCTGATGGCACAAATGGCACGGTCGCGGCTTGCGCAACTGCTTCGTCCGGAACACGTGACACTGCGGCTCGAACTCGCTCTGAAACCAATCGGAAGACAGAGAACAAAATTAATTAAAGTCAATGATTATCCCTTCGAAGAACGAATGCCGTATCCGATCGGGCGGCCGGGGCCTCGCCGGTCGCTATCTGAAACTTTTTCATGGATTTTTTCGCCGGCCCGGTTTAATTATTGGATAAGGACCTCTCGACTGGTTAGTCTCGACGAGGCCTAGATCTTTTAAATGAAACGCCTGTTCGAGGGTGCTTCGCGGCCACGGGAACTTTTTACTCCGCTCCGGAATCGTTATTCCATATCGGCTGTATCCGAGAACGATCGATGCCAGCCGAATCGGGACAATAAATGCGAACATTTCAATTAATTCAATTTTAACGAATAATCTTTTGTATCTGTCACATGCGTTTCTTTGCGCGGCTGTTAACGGTACAGCGATCCCGTAGCAACAAAGAGAGCTAGACCCGTGGAAAGAGCATAATTTGACCTTTAAAATGAGAGAGGAATCGTCGCGACACGATAATTTGCAACAATGTTACAGCTCTTTGAAGCTCGCGAAGTTTCGTGCAATTTTTGCGTCGAATTTCAACTGCTGCCGCGGCACACGTTTGACACGAACGACTGTGGAAACGCGAGAAAAAATTGTAGCACGATGTACCCGCGCTCGTTGAAAAGAGCAAATTACAGGCTTTAACGCCGCTATGGTTACAATTGCAGGGAAAAATTGTTGCGCTTCGCAGAAGTCGGCAAATGTTGACAATTTTTTCAAACGCGAACATTGATGGAAAACTGTTGACACGTGCCAGCACGGCGGATCTAATCCAAAATGGCCGAAAGTTCTGAAAAGCAGATATTTTGCCCTTTAAAATAAGCTTAGAAACAGAGTCTAACGATTTTTTAAACCAAAGTTACAGCACTTTAAAGTTTGGTCAAATTCTTCAATTTTCTTCGTCTTATTTAGAAGACGAATATCCAACCGCTGATAGGACAATTTTCACTCGAATGGCTATAAAGTGGCATAAAAAAGTCGCTGACGAACTTTTTTGTACTCGTTGGAAAGGGATAACTTCAATCTTCATGACCACTGCAGTCTCGTCCGTCGAAAAATATTTCTATCTTCACCAGAGGTCCGCAAAGTTGAATTTTTGGCACAAATTGAACATTGTTGCACATAATAAGACTGCTAATTGGACAGCGATTACACGAGCAAAAAGAGAAAGCAAATAGAAAGTAGAGATTCCGCCCTTTAAAATAAGATTAGATTCGTCGCGATGCAGCCATTTGCAACAAAGTTGCCGCAGTTCAAATTTCATGAAGATCCTGGACGTGTTCGATGATCGATCGAAGCAAGAAACACGCCTAAGAGGGTATCTCGGGGCGATTGTCGCTAATTAGACAGCGATTTAACATGAAAAAACGAAAGCATATAGAAAGTAGAGATTCCGCCCTTTAAAATAAGATCAGATTCGTCGCGATGCAGTTATTTGCAACAAAGTTACAGCAGTTCAAGTTTTACGAAGATCTTGGATGTGTTCGATGATCGATCGAAGCAAGAAACACGCCTAAGAGGGTATCTCGGGGCGATTGTCGCGAATTAGACAGCGATTTCACATACAAAAAACGAAAGCAAATAGAAACTAGAGATTCCGCCCTTTAAAATAAGATCAGATTCGTCGCGATGCAACCATTTGCAACAAAGTTACAGCAGTTCAAGTTTCACGAAGATCCTGGACGTGTTCGATGATCGATCGAAGCAAGAAACACGCCTAAGAAGGTATCTCGGGGCGATTGTCGTCCCGTACGACTCCGAATCATCCTCGGGCCACTAACACCACGCGGACTAAGCAGGATCAGGTCGCCGGTTAGGCAGGGTTCGCGAAGTTATGCGCAAATAATCGCCCGGGGCACTTGCGATCCCGTGATGCGCGGGTTCCGATTACAGACACGCAACCGGCCGACTCTTCCCTGGGAAGTGGATACCTCGGTGCTTTCACCGGCGTCGATCGATCACGCGTTCTTGGAAAACAATACGTGGAGCCGTGCCAAATTTCGTGGCGGAACACGTCGCCTCGCCCCGCCTCGCCTCGCCTCGCCTCGCCTCGCCGCGAGTTGACTCTCTGTTTGACGATTCGCGACGCGCCAGTCAATAATTCAATCGGCTTCCAAGGAACCCGATCGCGCGTTTCGATACTCTTCAGGGAAAGCGGAGACGTAGGAGGTCTTCGGGGTGTCGATTGACGACACACGATACACTGTGCTCGGACGTTGGACGTGCTCATGGTTGGATAATAAGGTGCGTCGATTAACTCGTAACCGGGGTGAACCACGCGTTTCTTCCAGGAACCGGCACATTTAACGCGGACCCGGTCATAGTAATTCTTGCGGACGGAGGATACGCGGACGGCGCTCGGATAACACCGGGTGAATCTTCCGGGGCCTGCGGTGCGTTTCAGTCGAGCATAATGGCGTTAAAAGTGGACATCGCTTTCTTGAAACGACGGCGAAGAGGAATGGTTATGGAAAAATGTACGACATTTCTTTGAGTCGGCGGTGGTTATTAAAGTGGTTATTAAAAGGTGTAGAATATTCTTTTATAGACGGCGGATATTTCTTGAAAATGACGTAGTTCGAAGAGCAGCGGCTATGGAAAAATGTGCAACAATTTTTGGAAAATCAACGGTGTCCAAAGAAGAATGATTGGGGCAAGTGTACGACTCTTCTTTAAAACAATACAATCCACGCGGGAATAATTATAAAAAAGTGTACGACATTTCTTGAAAAAGATGTTATCAAAAGAATAACAATGATTGAAAAATTGATGAAATATAATGATTGAAACATATATTTATATTTCTTTAAAATAATGGAATCAGAAAGAAACGTTTACGAAAAAAAGTATACAACATTTTGTTAAAACAATGGCATTCAAGCGGAATTAATTACGAAAAAGTGTACGATGCTTGTTTAAATCGGCGACGTCCATGCGGAAATAATTCAGGAAAAATGTGCGACATTTTTTTTTAAAGTTGGCGTCCGAGCAGAAATGATTATGCGAAAGTGTACTTTTTTAAAACGGTGGTGTCCAAGCAGAATTGTTAACAGGAAAGTGTACGACGCTTTTTGAAAAATCGATGGCGTCCAAAGATAAACGATTACGGAAAAGTGGACAACGCTTCTTTAAAACGATGGCTTCCGAACAGAAGTAATTATGAGAACGACAGTGGAACTACGTAACGCTAGTTTCTGTTCCCCAGGAAAATAAATTCGATAAATTATCCAGCTAGGCCGGTCTATCATTACGTCGTATAATGGCGAGCGTCGATTAATATGTAACGAGGGTGGGCCACGTGTTTGTTCGTGGGAACGACGTATTTGACGCAGTCATGGTTTCAGTAATTCAGCTGAAATAGAGGGAAGCGCGGTGGACATGGATCGTGATAATGCACGGTCCTCTCGGCTGCGGACAGCACCATATTTAAGCAAAATATAGCGTGAGCTTGCTCACTGTGAAACACGATGTATGTTCGCCCTTTTAGTTCGAGATTTAATTTTCGCGGAACGCGTGTTCGAATATTTGCTCGGGGCACGATTATTGCACTGCAGTCTGTGCAACCATGACGGCGACGATCAATCATGCGGTATATAGGTAGATTTAACAATTGAACGTTTGTTACAGATTTTTTTAGTCGATATACTCGGTGGGACCTTTTGAAATTGTTATGTGTTCTTTCTTATTCGTCAATGTGCTTTTGGACTTTCTGAAATTGATCTGTGGACTTTCCAAAATTCATCTGTGTGCTTTCCGAAATTGATCTGTGGACTTTTCAAAATTCATCTGTGTATGCTTCTGAAATTGATCTGTGGACTTTCCAAAATTCATCTGTGTGTGCTTTCTGAAATTGATCTGTGGACTTTTTAAAATTCATCTGTGTATGCTTCCTGAAATTGATCCGTGGACTTTTCAAAATTCATCTGTGTGTGCTTTCCGAAATTGATGTATGGACTTTTCCAAATTGATCTGTGCGCTTTCTGAAATTCATCTGCGCGTATTTCCTGAATTTAACCCGCGGACTTCTCGAAAATTTTCCGTGGACTTTTTGAAATTGATCTGTGTGTGCTTTCCGAAATTGATGTGTGGACTTTTCCAAATTGATCTGTGCGCTTTCTGAAATTCATCTGCGCGTGTTTCCTGAATTTAATCCGTGGACTTCCTGAAATTTTTCCGTGGACGTTTCGAAATTGATCTGTGGACTTTTTGAAATTGATCTGTAGCCTTTTGGAAATTGATTTGTGGGCCCGTGTCACAGCCCTCTGGGATCTATCGGACCGCGAATTCACAGAATTTGAAGAATTCCAGAGGTAATAAGATTCCGCCACCGGCCGACGATCGATTTCTAGAGAACGATAATCGCAGGAAATATTTCTGTGTCGTTCGTTTCACGCAGCAAGCAATTAACCCAATACCGAAGAGCACGCAACATGGATCGAACATTCCACGCACATTCCCGCACCACTGGCGATACTTCTTACGTCGACCAGCGATACACTTCTTTTTTAAAATCAATTCATTAGCTTAGAAACAAGTTTGCGTTTTCCACAGGTCGGCAAACGTTGAATTTTTAGCAACAATTCGAACATGGTTGCATAGAGTGCAATTTCTAACGGTACGGCAACTCTGTGCCGAAAAAATCACAGTGACTAGAAACTGCAGACTTTTCCCTTTGAAACGAGCCCATGTACATCGCGATACGATAATTTTTTACAAAGTTACAGACTTTTGAATGTCGTCGAATTTCGTGTAATTTTTGCTCATTGTTCTAATTTTCCACTATTACGGCATACTTTTTATTCGAATAGTCATAAAATGGCATATAAAAATCGTGGTAAGATGTTTTTGGTCTCGTTTGAAAGAGGAGACTTTATACTTTAAGACAACTTTAATTTCATTCGCAGGAAAAATTTGTCCAATCGTTCAGAGATCGGCAAAGTTGAGCTTTTGTATAAAATTAAACATTGTTGCAAAAT